TGAAGATTCCCCCTTTTCCGCCTCTTCGCATAATATAGCCCCTCTAATTCCGGATCAATATCCAACCATTCCAGTTTGGTCACCGTTTTGATTGGAAGTCGGTTTGAAAGTAAAAAGACTTTTTTTGGGATACTCTCACATCCGGGTGGCCCATATATCAGCGCTTTCATAATTCCTTGCGAGTTTGTTACCATTGAAAGGATAAAAGGCTTGGCCGGCCTAGGCAAGTATCCATCCATCTGATCCCCAGACCGTGTGTGTCATATCATCTCAAAACGGGATTGATCAACGCCTGAAAGGCATTTTCCTACCGAGCTTCACTTTTTGCTGCACATCTCTAACCATCTCTTCGTCTTCCATTGAGATGGCCTAGACGGAATAGCGAACGGGACCCATTCTCTTTCATCCAAAAAGGAAAAAATCAAATAAGAGGAAAACTACTTACTTGATAGCGTAATAGACAAAGACGTTCGAAGCAAGTCCAAGATTCACTGAGACACCAGCATACATATTGATCACCATTGTTGTGTAGGGATCTTTTGTGAAGACTGGAGCCAAAGTATTGGCCATGAAAGTGAGTAACCATCCGCATATAACAATGATCACTGTCACGCCTATGGACTTGAAGACCGTCTTCATTTTTGAACCTGCAACGAATGGTGTGTGTCGTTAGGTCAGATTAATTTTATACGAAAGAACTGAGAAGAACTCACTGGCGCTGCTCCTTTTGAGTAGATAAAACGTCAAACCGTAAACTACGATTATGCCAACATTCACTCCAACACCAATCTGATTCAGCTTCTCGAAAGACACAACACCAAAGCTTTGAGGTACTGCACATTGAACGAGTCTGAATCACATATGGTCTATCCGAGAGCTTCCACTCTACTTAAAGACTGCAGCTCTCTATCTATATATGATCGGAATGGATCGTTCTCAACTTAGTGCTTACCGCCCAAGTGGGACATTTTGGTCCGCTGTTTCAAACCCACTGCCAGCCATCTGTAGTAAGGTTTCAGGTTTGTTATGGTAGAAACCGTGGATCCCCTAGGATGCGCCATGTCGACGGATGGTTAAAGAAAGTTTTTCAAAATGAATTTCACTCTGACAACCATTTGGGCAACACTGTTGCTGTTGTACTATCGTTGGCTCATGACAATGTAGAGAAAGAAGGAGGATCTGCTTCGTCAGAATATTCTGACGAACCCTTTAAAGAGCCCTTTTACGCTATTTTGCTGGAAGTGAATGAATTCTCTGCCCACAGTTCAATCCCTCACGCTACTCGCCTTGTCTGACTTATTCAGGGGACAAACTCTAATCTTATGATCATTTGGTCACCCTGATGTTTGGGTATTCATGAGAACACTTATGAGACGTAGCTTCAGTGACTCGTTCCCAGAAGAGTATTAGCTCTAATGAGCCACTAGAAACTCAAGGAATTAGGAGACTATCGTGTGAAAATCTGTGTGAACGAAGGCACTCCAGTCCCGCCACCAGACAGAGATCAGTTTTATGGAGTATTTCGGGTGAATTTGGTAAAACTGAAAAGGACTAGGTGCAGACTCACGATTGGTCTTTAGTCAAGAATGCCAGCGTGACTAAGTATAAGCTGTATACCAGAGGTACTGATACAGAGCATAGTACATATCGATACGGCACCATTTGCAAAAAACGATATCTAAAAGATCTATCGATTACCGATTAACTAAAAATGATGGCAGCAGATTTTACGATTCTTCAAATCCCTCCGATTTGTCGGAGTCGGCCGGCTTGGCCAGAGCTAGAAACCCTTGTCGTTCCGAATTTTCCTAGTTTCGGGCACGGCGGTTCCATACTACTCGGCAGAAGCCACGCTCCGCCTAAAAGGAGAGCATAGGTTGGCTTTTTAGTACCCGAAACCATCTAGTCTTGGAGTGACCCTATCCCGAGATCATCACCTGGACGGATTTTACTACGAAAATTGTTCCAGTGCCAGTATGGTAGCCACTATCCTTCGACATCTCTGAGTGTTCCTTTCAGGCACCTACGGCTGAGTGCCTGAATGGCTCAAGCAGAGATCTGAGGTCGAGGAGCCCGAGTGTTCGGCTCAAGCAGAGATCTGAGATCTAGGAGCCCCCGAGTTTCACTTCCGCGAACCTNGAACCTCATATGGTGGGGCTCCCATACTGGTGAGATCAGCTCATGGAATGGAGCCAAGCAACTTGGTGGTAGACGATAGGCTGGTAGTGTGTGGCTTGACTACCATATTACCAGACATACTGCATGTACAGGGATAAAAGCAAGCTTTTAACAGCTTGACTGAGAAACTACAACTGGTCCGAAGCCTATAGATTACCTGGAAGGAAATCGCACAGCAATAAGGCGATCTAGACCCAGGCATAATAGTAGAGGACTTCCAATAGATGCTCCAATCATAGGAATCAGTTGCAGCCAAAAACAGTTTGAATGAATCATCGTGGCTGAAAAATGAATCTTTCTGAAGGAAAAAGCCAATCTAAACTACCAGTATTACCGTTTCTGTAGAAGTGATAGACGAATGGGTATTGTCCCACTTCGTGGGTGAGATCTGCTACACATGTCAAGGCTATCATTATGTGGCATGGTGATTTCGTTCTCCTGAAAGCAGTGGTCAGTAGAGCTGAAAAGGAGGTTTTCAGGAATGAAATTTGTAATTAATACTTTAAAATTGAGCCAAAAAAAATCGC